AGAGTGATTACTTCTGTTAGAGAACGACTATCCGTACCCAACACACGACGACGGACCTCGTCATTGCTCACCCGATGTTCTCACCAGACACGAGCAATGCTTCGGAGACATCTTTGGTCCAATATAGAAAGTCGATTAGCATCCTCCGCTCGGAGAGGTTAGATATCGCAACCGTAAAGCAGAACACTATGAACTGCGGCTATGTACACCCCTTAAGGCGTGCGTCAAGAAGCCGTAGAGGTTCCGCAGAAATCCAGGGTGTCACGGCACAACGTGTCAGACCACAACTAAGCCGGCAGAATGCAGAGCATTCTTGATAAGCCACCAGTGCTGGTTAACGTCATCGAGTTGGGTTGATTCTAGCTTTTCAGCTAGCGCGTTCTGAAAGACAGGCGTGCTGGTTCAGACAACTGATCATAGTCTAACCGTCGATGTGTCAAGCGTTTGGAACGCCCACCGAAGCACATGGACAGCTTGGCGCAAACTAACGCGTGGTCGGATTCGAGAGGAGTGCTCCAGTACGACCGATAATCTTGTATATAACCCCGCCATTTGTAGCTTATAGCGGTGTGGCAGTTGGAGCGTCTGAGGAATAGGCGGTGATCAGAACAAAGAGCCAACAGCCGTTCCCCGTTTTCCGAGCGACAGGAATCTAGTCCGAAAGGACCACCCAGATGCACCGACACTCGAAGTCAGTCGGCCTACTCTAGCATTCATATCTCCTGTTAAAATCACGATATCAGCTGGACTTGCTTTACACAAGAGGTCATGTAGGTTGTGATAAAATTCATCTTTTACTGCATCTGGGCTGCAGTATGTCGGGGCATACGCCGACACGACAAACAGGTTTCGTCTGTCGGGGCAACGGCTGCTTACTTAGCACGAACCTCTAAGTCTCACTGCGTACAACCTACTGTCGACTGGGAACCAGTCCAGTAACGCCGCTTCAGCGCTCTCACTGAGAGCCACACCAACGCCAGCAAGACCGGAAGCCGCAGCCTCAGGGTCCCCAGAGAGGCGTAAGTGAACTTTTACAGATTGGTTTAATGGGGACGTCAATCGGATGATGGAGCTGGAGTCTCAAATGCGAGTCTCTTGGATACAACACACATTGATGGCTGGGGTCTGGAGCGTACGAGCTAAACCGACCTGTTGTCCCATACGTATCAGAGTGCGCACATTAAATGTGGCTAGTTTGAAGGGACATCAAGGGTGAAGAAGGGCTTCAGCTGGTGGAGGAATTGGTGAGACTTGGACGGCAGTCGAGGTAG